GGCTGACGGGGGATGGCGGACGGCTGACGGGGGATGGCGGATGGGGATGATGGGGGATGGCTGACGGGGACGGGTCTTCTTCGGTTGTGACTGTGTTCTGAACTAGATACAGCTGACAGTCGGACAACTCTATGAACATGCTAACAATCCCTGCGTTGTAAACTTTAAGAAGGTGAATTTTCTGGTATATGAATTATATATTTTTTTTGGAAAAAAGATTTATTTATTTATCCTAGAGAGGTAGAGAGGGGGGCAGAGAGAGAACTCCAAGCAGGCTCTGCCCCCAGCATGGAGCCTGACCCAGGGCTCTAACTCATGACCCTGAGATCACAACCTGAGCCAAAACCAAGTCAGACACTCAACAGACTGAGCCACCCAGGCGCCCCCGAATTGTATCTTAATAAAAAAGCACCTGCCAGATGGGCTGGATTTTCTGGGACAGTTCTGATTTTGAATATTCTATTCTCTGTCAAGACTATGCATCAGGTCACGTGATTTGGGCTTTAAGTAAAATACGGTCACTGTCTGGACCTAGGACGTAGGAAGGGGGAACCAAAGTAAAGAAGGCAGCTGTGCAGGTGAATCGACCACTCCTGACCCCTTGCTCCCCGAGTTTCTGTCCTGCAAACATCCCCTCACTGTTATTTTACTGTAAAACGTAGCCTGCATTTGTCACGGCGGGAGCACGCACTCCTTCATCTAGCAAACACGGGAGACACGCCCCATGCCAGGCATTGCAGGGGATCCCAGCGTGGATGTGAGATAGAATCTTTACCTTCGAGAAGCATGCACGCCGGTGGCAGAGGGAAGTAGGTTCTTAGCAGACGTGAGGAAGTGAGGAATACACGCAGGGGTGCAGAGAAACAAGTGCGTTAAGTTAGACCGGCAGAGGGGCACTGCGGACTCTGCAGGTTGGGGGTGAAGTCTGCAGGCTGGGGGACAAAGTCTGCAGGTTGGGGAGTGAAGTCTGCAGGCTGGGGGCGAAGTCTGCAGGCTGGGGGGCTAACGTGGGCACAGGCTCGGAGGTGAGACAGCACTCGGTGTGCTGGGGAAGGGCCCTGGTTCAGCCAGGCTGGATGCAGGGTCCTCGGAGGGAGGTGAATGGACGTGGGCTTGACAGACAGCAGAGGGACCAGGGGTGGAGGGTCTGAAAGTCTCTGCTGGGGAAGTTGGAATGAACGTATTCTGCAGGAAATGGAAGCGCTCAGAAGCTTTTTGGGGGAGAAAGTGGCATTGCCTGATCTGACTTTTAGGAAAACGACCGGTGGCAGCCGTGGGGAGGACGGATAGAGAGAGAGAGAGAGAGAGAGAACACAAGAACGCAGCGCAAGCACACAAGCAGGGGGAGGGGCAGAGGGAGAAGGGGAGGGAGAAGGGGAGAGGGAGAAGCCCAGGACCCGGGGATCTTGAGCTGAAGGCAGACTCCTAACCGCCCGCGCCCCCCAGGCGCCCAGAGAGCTCCTGTTTGGAGTGAGGGTAAGCCCCTGCAGTCTGAGCTTGGAGAGCAGTCGGGTGGGAACAAGGTGGCATTGGAATGTAGTCCCTGCCAGCTCAGGGACTGTGTGGGCTTAGCTCACCCAGTACCCACACAGCTGGGTGAGAGCCGCGGCCCCTTCTCTGTTTCACCCATGGGTGGGGGGTGGGACCCAGCAGCTCCCAAGGTTAAGGCACCACCTGGTCACTGAGCCAGGACAGGGCAGGGCCCGTTCAGCCCCGCCTCTGTATGGATCAGTTAGCGTCCGGGTCACCTGGCTCGCTCCCCTGTCAGCCCGGGTATCGAAGACGTGGTGGGTTCACAAGACTCTGACTGGTGCCCTGTTTCTCGGGCCATCGCTCTGCCACCTTGGGGGGCCCAGCTCGGGGGAAGGGGGCACGGGGGGCGTCCTTGCGCGCGGGTGAGGGAGAGGCTGCCGTCTCCTCGCCCCAGGGTGGGACAGACCTTGTCTAAGCGACTAGCCTACTTCTTGCAATTCCTAAGTGCTCAGAAAATGAAAAGGAATGAGGAGAGGGGTTCCTTTGAAAATCAGAGTCCCTGAAGACAGTCTTCCTTGGGCTTCTGCTCCTGCCTCCCCCCGGCCCAGGCCAGGACGTTGTCCCACGGACCCGGCCCACCCGCCCTGCTCTCAGGCGCTGGAGGAAAGCAGTGGGGCACCTCCATCCGGTCCCGTTCTTGGCAGAGTATTGCATCCAGCACCCAGTTGTCTCTGCACTTCTGTCCCCATTTTACAGACGACAAAGCTGAGACTCGGAGGGGTCGATGGCTGGCTGGGGGAAGGTCAGTGTGGTGGCTGGTAGCCACAGAGCCCTGACTCTCTCCACAGAGCCGCTTGGCCCCCTGGCTGCCCCTGTCCCCACGGAGCAAGGTCTCCACAAGGCCAGTGGGTTTGGAATGTGCTCCCGGGGAAGTGAGGAGTGTGGCCTGGAGAGCTGTGAGCAGCAGGCATCACTGAACCCGGCTTGCACCGTCCTCCTGGCACCGTGTGATGACCGTCGCTGTCGCTGTCCTCTGGGGGGTGAGGTCGGGCTGGAACAGCGGTCCCGTGTTCCTGGTTACAGGGCACCCTTCTGAGGCCAGAAGTCGTCTGCTCGGGGCCCCTCTCCGGCCTGGCCTCCGACCTCCTTCACCTAAGTGACAGACAGCAGCCCGCCGAGGCCATGCCGGGGGGCCAGAGGTCAGCCGCGGGGTGGCCCTCGAGTCCCGCCCAGCCTCACCACCAGAGTCCTGGCCTCTGCTGGGTGTTTCCACGGACACAAAACTTGGTTCAGCTTCCCTCTGTCCCACACCCTGTGCTTTCGCTTCCCCTGGGTCCTTCTGCTGCTACCCCCCGCCCCATAGTCAATGCTCTTTGGCTGTTCTGGGTCCTTCTACCAAGAAGAAAAGTGTCTAAACCCCATCATGCTCCCGCGGAAGCATGACATCTCTCCCCCAGTGTTCCGGATTTGAAAAGCGGGTATGCATGGAGGACAGCATGACACCCAGAGTCATTAATGATCAGGGTAGAACGTGGTCGGGGGTGATGCTGCCCTGCATGTCACCACCCCGTTCTGGGCTAACGCCCACAGGGGTGCCCACAGCCCTGGAACAAGGAGGCTCTTCTCGGTGCCGCCAGGTGACTCAGTTTCCTTCCTTCGGAGCAGCTGTCTGTGGGCGCGGTGCCCGTGGTGTTGGCGGGTCTCCGTGTCTGGGAGCGGCCCTCAGTGCTGGGTGGTGATGCAGGCAGCGGCGGAACGCTGCTTCGCAGAGATCTCTCGGATGCCCTTCCGAGCCCCAGGGCCAAGGACGCTGTGTCCTCTGTCCCCGCAGGTATTTCCACTGTCCAGCGGACAGCTCGGAGCTCGCCTACGACCCGCCGGCGGTCATGAATGCGGACACCTTGAGCTACTGTCAGAAGGAGGCCTGGTGCAAACTGGCGTTCTATCTGCTGTCCTTCTTCTACTACCTTTACTGGTGAGTGTGTGTCCCTCCTGGCGCTTTGGGTCCTGCAGGTGCTTTGTGCCTCCTGCTCTTGGGGCGGGGGTGGGCTGTGAGGGTGGGGGTCGCAGCCACAGGGGTCTGATGCCAGCTGTCTGACTTGGTTGGGAGCCTGGGCTCGTGTATGGAGGCGTGAGGGGTGGCGGGTCCTGCAGGAGGCCTGGCCCCTAGTGGGCCCATCTGCCGGCCCTCACAGAGAAACACGTTGTCCCCACACCTCTGGGGAGGCGGTTGGTGACGCGCAACTGGTCACTCCTTCTCCATAGGGCTCCGTCCCCAGCTCAGCCACTTGGGTCTCCTGTGGCCCCTAGCCCACGTGGAAGCATCTGGGGAACAGAACAGAGACCCCGGGGGGCGGATGCGCGTCTCAAAGGGGCATGCGGGGTCACTGAGTGCTCAGGCTCACGACTCTGCCCATGTTATGTAACTCGCTGATGAGGTAGACCATGCTGACTTTGCGATCGTTCAGCAGCCCCCCATGTCTGCACCTCTGCACAGAGCGGTCTAGCGAGGCAGATGGCTGAAAGCAGACTGCCCATGGCCAGGCCCCGAGAGCACCTCCTCTGAAAGCGTCTCCCTCCTGTTCCTCTTTGGGCTCATTTCTGGGGCACCTCACCTGCCACCTCACTACGCGGTGTCTACCTGCATTCGGCCAGGAAAGCTGCCGGTGTCCCGGTGCTGCTGTTGGTGCTAGCCGCGTGAGGAAGAGGAAGGTGGGGTGTTAGCGAGGCCGCCCCAGGCTTGGGGCGGGCTGGGGAGTGGCTGCATTTATCCACACTTAAAAATGAGCCGTGCTTCGAGCCAGGGGCTTGGTATGTACCGCTCAGTCCGGGAGCTAAAGGCCTTCATTGCCCACTTGGTGACAATCAGGAAACGGAATCCCAGACATCCGATGTTTTCCCACGTCACAGCTAAGAGTGCATCTCGGGTCCGATCCCAAACACGGAGCTCTGCACTGTCTCAGCAAAGCTCTAGAAAAGTCTCATCAAAGTGTGCTCTTTGGGCTTTCTGCATCAGAAGCAGGTGGGGGGAGGTGGGTGTGCTTCTGAAAAGCGCAGATTCCTGGGCTTGGATCTGCTGACTCAGGATTTCGGGGGTGGGCATCCTCCCTGGGGGTGAGACCTGCCCCCCACCCCGGAGGTGCTGCTTGGGTCTGCCCCCTCGCCCCAGCATGTCCCAGTGTCCAGAAGACTCAGACCCCCCAGGCGTGTAACATACCTCTGGGATAACTCCCCTTGGAGGGGAGTCAGAGTTCTAGCACATTCTCCTTGGGGTCAGCGTTGGTCCAGGCTCAGGGTGACCCCTTCCCCCCTCCTTCTCTATGGAGGGTCCTGGGACATTGTCTGCTTCAATGTACAAGGAGCCCGAGCGTCTCTGAAGCATCTCTGGAGGTTTCTGAGGCACCCAGCAGATCTGCCCGGGTCTCTCTGACTCCGACTCAGAACTTTCTAGCCACTGAAGCTCGCTCAGGCTGGTTCCTGCCTTGGGAAGCCCATAGAAGGTGGCTCCAGCCCTCCAGGCTTAAGGACTTGACACCGTGGGCTAATGTGAGGTGCTGGAGTGAGCTCAGCCTCCTCTGTGGGGATCTGCAGATGCCCCCACTGCAGAATCAGGAGCCTGCCCCAGAGGCAGCCGTGCCCCCCAGGCTCCTTCCCCGTTGGTCTGGGGTCCACCCTAGTCCAGATGGAGATGGAGGCAGGTCACGCCCCCTCATTTCAGTTGTGTTGCCAGCATCCGTCTGTTGTGGGAAAGAAGACCTGGGAAGTCGCGCAAAGTAGCTCCTCCCTTCCTGCGGGGCTGCGGGGGGCGCGAGGGGGCGGCGGGGGGCGGGAGGGGTC